TAAAAAACATCTCAATATATTGCTTATGTTTTAAAAGGGCCTCACATTTAACCCAAGATTCATTGTGTGAACTATTAGGACCACCGACATGAGTTTGCAATTTCTCTTTTTCCTTCCAATTAGAATACCCTTCACCAACAAAATGATCACCTCCTTATTGTCACCAACTTCTGGTTTGAACAAGTACCAACATAAACAAAATGTAGAATCCTTTGAAATACTATATTCTAACAAATTGGGATATTCACTAATTGGATTAAATCGTCTTGACTTTGATCCAAATTTACTGAATGGAAAAGTATGATTCGCGGCTGACATGGACCTTTTTGTAAATAAGCTCTACAAACTTGGTCTTGAATATTATAATTGTAATAAGAAATTTTAGGTCTTAGATCTACAGGTAATTCTTCTAAACTGGCTTCTATATCAGACCTATCAAAATTAGTATTACTATTCTTCTTTGGAGATGATGACTCATCCCTATTGATTTCAAGTTAAATCTAAAAAATAATTAGTAGGGAAAATATTCAAGAATTAAAACATAAATTTAACAATCATAAAAACTAAACAAAAATTTATGAGTCATAAAAACTAAAGTAGTAGCCTAAAAATAATTGAAAATTTACCTGATAATTGTATATTCTGGCTTTATGACAAAAAACCCATCATTCAAATATAACTATAAAATTAATAAACAAAAAGATTCAACAACCTCTACAACTTTTATACAAATAAGTATAAAAAATAATTGATACCTTCTCGTGGAGATTTATACTAATTCAATAGTCGATAGCATTAACCCCACACATGGAAGTACTTTCAAGGTACGAAATTTACCATCCGACCATTCAAAATTTTTGTAAACAAATCTATAATAATATAATTAATGAAATTTCAAGGGGCACGTGAATCCACCCCAACCTTATCAATTAGTTTACAACTTTTACCTTTCTCTTTCATCAATTAACGAGACTCGTATAATTTTTTTATTAATTGTTCTACAATTTTAGTCTTTATTTGTTTATCTATATTACTAATCATATTTCTTCTAATAAAAAATTATTATAAAATAATAAATATTCCTATTTAATTTATTAATTATTTAATTTTACTTGTCGCAACGTCCTCGCGACGCGGAGTCGCCACCAATCATCTACGAGGTGTGATTGGTCACCTATTTAAAAACTTGGTCTGTGAAAAAGGTGTTAGCACTCTACAACACCCGTTCGAAAACGGTACCACATTTTATCATAAATTATCCTTGGTCCAAGGAAAAAAATATTTTTGTGTTTTAATTGAAATGTCCCATGTTATATTAATTCACACCTTGTTATAAGATTTACTTGCGACACGAGTGATGACATTTCAACGTCTCACTAACCTACCACCACCTTGGGATATAAGCTATGTTCCTTTATAAAATACAAATTTTGTATTTTTGAATTTTGTTAAAAAAAAAAATTCTAAAGGAAATCTTTTATTTAAAATAATCTTTTATCCAAACATCTTACCACTCTTCCAACATCCTAAGATGTAAACATTGAATTCTTTTACTAAAACAAACATTTTAATTTATTTTTTTAAACTAAAAAAAATCTACGAATTTTGTTAAATTAAAACAAAAAATAAATAACTTTATTTATTTATTTCGAAATTAACAAGATTATTTAAAAGAAAAGAAAACTTTTATTTAAAAATAAAGTCAAATTTACTTTAACAAAACTTATTTGCTAAAAAAACTAATTTTTTGTTAAGATTCTTTTCAAAACCATAACCAACAAATCATTAAAAGAAAATTTTTTAAAAATGAGATTTTATTCTAAAATACTCTGTTTTTATCTCCTCCTTTTTTAAAACCTTGCAACAGAAGATTCTTTTTTAATTAAAAAAATAAAACAAAGTTGACACAAAAATAGTAAACCTTGTAAAAAAATCATTTTAAATAAAAACTATCTCTTAAACTTTGAATCCAAATTTAAAAGAATTCAAATTTTTTTAAACAAGAATTATTTTATAAAACTCATATTTTTTCAACGTATTTTAACCAAAATTTTAAAGTAAAATCTTTTATTAAAATAAAATTAAGTTTATATTTATTTCATTTAAAAAAAATCTTCTTTATTAGGAAAAGAAAACCTTTTTATTTTAAAACAAATTTTAAAATATCAAAATCCTTATTTTATTTTCAAAAACTTATTTACAATTAATTTAAAAGATTTTTTTTACTTAAAAAAATGGTTTCTTATTAAAAACATTTTTTTTCCAAAAAATTAAAAAACTTTATTTAAAAAATAATCTTTTTGGAAAAACAAAACAATGTGTTTCAAATTAAAATCATGATTTCCAAAGCCAATTTTTCCTTATTTAAAAAAAAAAAAGTTCTTTCCAACGTATTTTTTAAAACACACTATCGGGAGGAAGATCGTCGGAGTGCCAGCAGGCTTGGAAGAAGTTGTGAAGAAGGTTGTTGCTGCGGGCTTGGAAGAAGTTGTGAAGAAGGTTGTTGCTGCTGTGTCGTTCTGTCGTTCGCGCCGTTCCCTTGCGTCGTCGGAGGTCGTGGGTATGAAAGAGAAAAGGTGGTGATGGTGGGATAAGAAAGGAGAAGAGATGAATTGGTGGTTATTGAGGAAAAAGATTGAGTTTTAGAGATGGAGGGAAGAAGATACAGTGATGAGTTTCTAACTCTCGGCCTCTGTCATGTTCCCTCTATTGCCCCCTTAAATACCAGAAAAAAAATAACGGTAATAGTGTGAGTCAAGTAAAACCAGAGAAAAAGAGGGAAGGGAAGTCGTTCGGTTTTGACGAAGGAAAAACGGGACGAGAAACAAATGTTTATTTTTAACCAAAACAGAATCTATTTTTTTTTAATTAAAAAAACTTTTATTTAAAACAAAATTATTTAACTAAAATCAAATCTTTTTATTTCTTTTATTTTAATATTAAATCAAATTCTTTAAAACAAAAATCTATTTTTTTAATTTAATTTAAACTTTAGCTTATAACCAATAATAAATAATCTTATAGTATTTTAAACCAAAATAATCAAAATAAAACTTAATAAAATAAAAATTAAATAATTAAAAAATAAAATTAAAATGAAGTCGGACCAAATACGGTGTCTACAGTTGTTATTAATAAATATCAATAAAATTGTTAAAATAGAATTCATTATTAGAACAATAAAATATAATAATATTTTATATTAACAATCGTTGTTCAATAATATCAATGAAACGAGTTCGAGTACAGGTTAAAAATAGAATTTTAGTCTTTAAGGGGCCGTTTGTTTCGTGGGAATCCAAGATTCTAGTGAGACGGGCATCTGCACGTTTGTTTTGTAGTACTGTAAGATACTTGGGTATCTCGAGATGTCTGAGTATCCTAGAATGCCCATACTAGAGGCATCGTACGAGTTGTTGATGCCCTTTTGAAACACGGGTTTCAAGATTCCCACGTCGAGTACATCCACTTTTTACATTTTTGCCTTCCATTTGTTTCTCCATATATTTTATTTCATCAATTTTTTTTAATTTTTCCTTAAAAATTCTTTTATTTTTATTTTTAAATTTATAATTAAAATAAATTGATATACTCGTCGTCTAATAAATAACTTTATGCTATGAAGTATTTATACATTAGATTTACATGTAAAATAAACTACAATTAAATTATATAATATCTCCATTTATTTTTAATATTTTCAAGGAATTTCATTATTAATAATATTTATTACCATAAATATATAATTGTAAAGCAAAATACTCCTAATATATTTCCTCTTAAAAAAATATAATATGATTATAGGATAAATAAATTTCGATAACATAATTTATATAATTGTCCTTTTRGAAAACTATTAAAGTTAGAAAATGAAACTTATATTAAATTAATAATTAATTAATTTGTTATCCAAAATAACATATAAAAAATAAAAATATTAAATTAATTCAAATAAATCTATTATATTAGATGAATTTATAAATTATATAAATATTTGTGAAGACATTTTTAGAAACATTCTATAAATTTGACACATTTTTTAGAATAAATCGTGCAAAACAAACGTAGCTATCTAAATATTCTTGGATATCCTTAAAAATCTACCTACATGATTATTTGAAGATACCGAATATCTAAAATTCCGAACATCTAAAATTCTAGATATCTCTAAATGCCGATCATCTACGTTCCCAAAAAACAAACAACACTTAAGTTTGAATACATATTTTTGGTCCTAACATAACACTGATGTGGAAGTTTGAAATACTAAGTGGCATTTGCTGATTATTTATTTTAAATGTAGTATTTGTACTTTTTTATTTACTATCAACAAAAAAGTATATTTTACCTAAAAAAATATTTACCATCAATCAAATAGTAATAAATAAATTAAAATTTATTGTTATTTTAATTAAAAATAATATTATCACAATTATTATATATGTAATAAGCTCAGAAATAAAAAAAAAATAGTATTCTAATGCATGTTATATATCTGATTTATATTACGACGCCAAAAAATTTTAGTAAACATCAATGAATTTTTTATTTCGATTCTGAAAAATCTTTAAAAAAATATAATATTCTTATTCTCGTTAATTTCATTTTGATTGCCTTCTCTTCTCCCAAACACTCTTTTTCGTTCTTTTTTCCATGGTGTTTTCAATTCATTCACGTGAAAATTTGTCATATTAATATTTGCATAAATAAAATAATAATTTACATGTCTTTTTAAATTATGAGAATACATGTAAATAAAGAAGCAAAGACGATGATTAACAATCTCAAAGTAATGGTTAGGCCAAGGGCAAAAGAACTATTCAAATATGGTACAATGGTTAGGCCAAAGCCAAAAAAGCCTTGTTAGGCCAAGGCAAAGAGAACCATTCAAATACCGTAAGATGCGTTTTACTTTCTGAAAATGTAGGTGTATCTTAGAGTGAGAGCATAGCATGAAAAAATGCATGCCAAAGAACCCAAATCGACCTATTAAGCACGAGTAAGCTAATATGTACCACAATAGTATTCAATATAGTATATTAGAATTTTGGGGGGACAAAATTCACATCAAATACCGAGCTAATTTCAAAATAATCTACAATAATCACATCTTAAACATATACCTCTAACCTCAAAATTTCCCAAAAAGACTTATCATTTACCAATTACCATGGTTGACAATAACTTCTCCAAAATAATTAATAAGATGAACTCCACATCTATCAGACAACAATAAAATTTCTTAATGAGTTTTAGCTGTGGGGAAGATGAGAAAGTGGCTCATGAAGAAAGCAAACATTGGAGCATCTTTTGGCAAATTTGTTGGACCTCAATTGAAGGATCTAWGGAAGATATACCTGAAAGCACATCTCTTGCTTCTAGTAGTCCTCCAGAAATACACTCCAAAATTGGATCTTCACTTGACATGAGAGATATCATCAGCTTAGCACCAGCTACCCTTTCCTGATGAACACAACAACAAAGAAAATCTCTATCCTCAATAGAATGAAAAATAAGCACCCGAGAAATGAGTGTTGTGATTATGATGACCAGAATAAAAGCAGCAGGCTGGAACTATTTTGGAGTGATTTCCAGAAGTAGGTTTGCTTTAAAAACAAAACTTCCAAAGAAATACCAAATATGCTTAGCAATTGTTCTTTAGGAGTTTTCTTTCCTCTTGTTTTTCTTTTATTCGATTTTATGGACAACCCAATTTTTAAATAATTGAAGTCATTACTCCAAGTACTCTTGTAAATAATGGTCTCTTGTAAACAACCTAAATATTACAAACAACAATCCTAATCTTTAAAAACAACTCCCCAAGGCCCTAATATTTTAGTGAGTTACGAGCAAACGTAAAAAATTTAAAATATCTGAAAAACACATGTTCGTTAGATAGAATTGACCATCAAACAGGTTAACAGTTGCATGACATTGTACGGTAAAAAGCAATCATATTTATATCCATTCTATAATAGTAATTCACAAAAACTTTGAGTTGAATTGCAAGACAGAAGATAATGGTGATGATAATCAGATAGTGTCAAGGTGGGTTCAGTCTTGTTCTCATTTACGTCTAATTTTATACCTTTTCTGACCCCTTTTTGAGAGCATTTAATGAGACTCTGAAAATATCGTTAGCATAAGGCAGAATAGCCGACTTTAGATGGTATACGGCTGAAAAGATGACGCCGATACATGCAGCTCTAATATCTACCACTGTACTTGTTGCCTACAGCATTTGACACCATCATGAGAATCACAAAAAACGTTACTGGAAACACAAAAAAATCAATCAAAATCTTATTAATGGTAACTGAATAATAAAATAACCTCAACAAAACCGATGAGATGTGGCAGAATTTTCTGAGCAAATCGTTTCTTTTGAGAATCAGAAAGCTTCTGGCAGGCACTAATGAGTACATTTGCCATACAGAGGCGAAAGGTTAAAGGAGTTGAATTGTCAGATCTGTTGTCATCATTGCCGAAGTCATAGGTTGAAACTAGTTCTCTTGTACCATGTATTAATTTATGGATAACGTAACCGAGGATAGAATTTTGTAAGGTGGCATGCCCTGCACATTTAGGTCGTAAGGTCAAAAGTCCACAAGAATTGGTATACATTGCATTGAACAATCAGTCACCTTTCTTCCGATTAATGTCAATCTTCTCCAAATTGGAGCCGCTTGGAGCTTGTAGTTCAGCACATATCATCAAAGCCATACAATCAATACACCCATGTTGTGATTTGGAAACTGTTAAAAATAAAAACAAATAAACCAAGTCTCCTTTGATAACGATTTTGTTTTTAGTTCTTTGTTTTGAGAAATTATCCTTAATTTTTAGTAATTTCAAAGTAATTTTTAGTAGGTTGATGTTGAGATATCCATATATGAATTAAATTCACCCAATTCATCAGCTTAACTTTTAGGTTGAGTGGTGATTTATTCATACTTAATATCAAAAAAGGAGATTCTGTGTTCGAACTCCTGCATTGTTATGTCCTCCCCATTTATCATGATTTCCACTCGTTGGATCTTGTTGCAATTTTAAGCCCAAGTGGTGGGGCGGAGGAATGTTGAGATATCCATATATGAATTAAATTTATCCAATCCATCAAATTAAGCTTTTGGGTTTGATGGTGGTTTATTCATACTTAACCGTTCCTCACATTTCTTCCGAACACATTTCAATTCTTAGCCAAATTTCAAAAGAAAAACTAGATTTTAAAAATTACATTTTTAAGTCCTCGAAATTTGGCTTCAATATTGAATAATAAAACAAAGAAATACACAAGGTTAAGTACTATTTATACCAATTAATTTTCAAAAAACTGAAAAAATAAACGACACGAAAGGGTTACATCTAAGAGAACAGGATTACTGTATAGTTACAAAGAAGAAAAATCGGGATAAATTGTCAATTGTTAGGCACAAACCTTCATCCCCATTCTGAGACGGCCATGATAGAACCACTTCCAAGGTTTTTACGATTTCAAACATGTCAAAATGTGAAAGCTTCTGCTCACCTCTGACCTACAATCAAGAAGAAGTTGTATCCATTAGCTCTGGTAAGACTCCAAATAGATCATATTATGCACAGAACTTAATGCAAAAAATAATGCAACAGCTCTCAAAGCATGATGACAGGGACGGTGAATATTGACAGCAAATTGATTACCACAAGGGAGGTGCACATCGAGAAAAGGCAGGCTTTTATTGCTGGTATATTTTGAGAACCAGCAGCATCTTCTAGTATCAAGCTAACAAAAGGATATAGCACCTAGAGAAAATAAAGGACGTCAGGAAAATTAGGACCAAAGTTATGATAGATTAGATAGCAAAACCATCATGTTAGCATTATATCGAATGTAGCTCTACTAATATTAATAGTTCCACGTGAATTCAAACCCATGGTTGTTACACACAAATAGACTCTTTTATGTCGAGATGAGACCATAGAATAATGTAAAATGGCACAATATTTTAAGTTTGGGAATCTTAAAGCATGCTGAACCATAATCAAACAGAAACGAAAAAGGTAAGTGCTAAGCCACAATATTCCCAAAAAGATGATGAGATGAAAGGTAAAATTAAGCAAAACAGATTTCTGAATAATTAAATAATGGATGCTTAATCATTTACAATATGATAGCAAGTAAATGTGTACTCAAGACACCATTGGCAGGAGACATTCAACATTTCCGTTGAACATGTTTGTCAAGATCACTTTCTTTGTTT